GTATAAGATGACTGACTTCATCCTATGCAATGTGCTCAAGCTGATGTGTAGCTGTGATTTTTTCTCACAAAGTTTTGTAATAAAGTTGGTATTCTGAGGTTCATCCTCGTTTTGTGATGTCAGTTTTCATTTAACTTTGATGGTTTAGCTACGATTGCTTTGGGATGAGTTCTACTGGTGGGATTGAGGTTTTAAGATCGTCTGTGCTGTGACGGTTGTCCAACTAACACAGTTAAGGAAAACATAGAAAGTACCAGTAGCAAGCAATACAAATTAATTTTTTCGATGTATTATTGTTAAAATACAAGTATCTAGTAGAGGCATGGTTTCTAGTATTTCCCAATGTTAAAATGACTTTTGATGATAAAATTTTCATGGATCTAGACAGTCTTTTAAATTGATGAAATGATTTCTCTTTTTCAAAACTTAGGGACAGGGCAAGAAGATGGATCCAATGACAGATGTTCTTTAAAAGCATGCTGACATGACAAAACTATGACATCATTGGGGTTTTAAAACATTACACCTTTTAGTTGTGTCATACATACACTGAACTTGATTCTGGTTGGAACGTCCAGTTCCAACAATGTTTGTAGCCTCGCAGAGAAACGGCCGACTGACTTCAGATGCCTTCATCTTTAAAACGGCTCCGGTTCCAATGACAGTCTCCAGGCTTCCATCAACTCTGTACCAGGTGTAGCTCCTCACTGCTGGGTTGGCATCACTTGTGCATGTCAGAGTCACATCACTGTTGTGTTGTACTGGACCAGAGGGACTGACTGACACTCTGATGGCTTTAGGTGGATCTGAAACGTCAACAATGAATCATCAGTATTATTGGTATATATGAGGTGTTGTATTGTTCATCACAAGTTCTTCATCTCTGTTCTCTGGTGCTGGACCAGAGTGGCTGACTAACACTGTGATGTCTTCAGGTGATTCTGGGAAGTTAGCTGCAACAAAAAAACAAATGTTTCCCTCTTTCTCTGATGTAAGTCAGTTTTCATTTAACTCTGACTGTTTGAACGACTAAATCAAACAACTAGATCATAGAAATCAAAACAGCCAGTTACGTCATTGTTATGACTCTGAAACATTACACCTTTTAGTTGTGTCATACATACACTGGACATCTATTTGACTCTGGTTGGAACGTCCAGTTCCAA